CTTTCTATATATTCCTTGAGATCTTCTATTCGATCCGACTTCTCTTTGTCCATTTTCTTCTTCTTTTGCGTTGCCAATAAAGATTCAATTTCTGACTCAAATTGGTCCATCTGGAAAACATTTTCAAAAATTAGGTAACCTCAAAATAACAGCCTGCTCCTTAAGGCACAGTCACACGAGTGCTTTTTTTCGGAACCAGTTTATGATATGATCGACTATTTGAAGTTATCCTGTCAGCAGTTCCCTAAATTGCTGGTCACACAGGACGAACAGAACATAGGCGACCTATGCATTTAATTTTAGTAACAAATATAGCATCTATGATAGCCCGCATAGCTCTCTTTGCAGATTATTAGTTATCTACTGAAAAATTACTAAAATGGTAGTTGCAGAGAGATTCAATTAAAGATTAAGTATTGGTAAGCTCCTTTGAGGAACTTGGAGGAAACATATAAACAATGACTTCATAGATATTCTCAAATGAATTTCCAAGTGAAATATAATATGCACACTTGAAAAATATCCGTCTAAATATATTATTTGAAATATATATGATTACTATTATTTGAGCAGTCGAGTATACTTTTCTTAGCGCTCTCTTGTCATGCCTGCTTTACTCATTTCTGAACAAGACATAGCACTCAATTCTACTTCCAACCGAGTAGGAGATTACGTGAACTTATAATATGAGGGAAGCGGAACAGTTGAAGTTAACACCGACTTATTGTTGAAAAAGCGCTCGTGTGACCTTCCTTTTAAGTGAAGAACTATCTTTTAACCCCTTGGTGCCGGGTATGACGTGTACGTAAAAATTATAATGTTTATGATAAAAATAACACCATCGATTTTCATAGCGCTAGTGAAAAATACGTTTTTCCCGCCATTTAAATCAGGCGCTAGCAGAGCCATCTATCGGCAGACATTTCACGAAAAACATAGAAAGTGGGCACAATATTTTCCCCATTTTTTGTTCATTTTCCCCGGCACCATTGGGTTAAAAGCTACATAAAATTAGAAGAGAGAAAAAAATAATTCAGCACTAAAAAACGAAGTTTACTAAAAAATAATTAGAAAACTTAGACTGAATAATCAACAGGAGAATTGCATTGTACGATTCTCTCTCATGACTAATTTTCACTTTTTTTTTTTTTTTTTTTTTTTTTTATGTTCAGATGAAAATCACCATTTAAATAATTCTCCTAAATGATAAACAAAATAAGAATTACAATGATTTGAATTACTATTACCTATTTCCTTTAATTCTATATACATTACCATGTTCAAGTATTCTAAAGTGGACTCTATATCTATATGCAAAACCTTTAAATATATATATATATTTTCAGTTCAACAGAAATAAACCAGAACTCGGTTTTTCTTGGAAATTATCAAAATACAGAATAGTAACAAGAATAGTACCATGAATAATAATAGTAACATGAATCTTTGAACTTCTTGTGACGCTCTGAAGATTAATTTAAGGTCCCTATGTCAAAGATGATTTACATTCAACTTCTCTAGTTTCTTTCTGGACTATCCTGAAGTGCAAGTAAATAGATGAATAGAGCAGTGCAACCTGCAGAGACATCCTAATCAATAAGCACAACAACAGTAAGTCAAATAAACTACCTTGACATCTTTTTTCTTTCGTTTAACTTAGGTAAAACAAAAAAGACCGAGAAATTCTCAGGGAAAATAAACGAGGGCGACTCACCTGAATATTTAGCGTGTCTATAGAGGAACTGAGCCAATTATTTAGGTCTTCTCTCTCCCGCTGGGCTGGATCCTTGTTTTGTGCTGCCCCAAGGCCTTCCTTACTATATGCTTTGGTCTTTGTTTCTCTTTCTACAACTTTAAATCTTTCCATTTGCTGTGGATGAGAGAAACAGCCATTACAGATCTCTGCTACATTCATAAATGGTCTTAGATGCTGGAAATACATACGAGGCTAATGGATAACCTGTGAAAGCCATAATAATGGACCTCCATTTTATACAATACTAAATATGCATATAAGATCCTAGAATCAATCTTGTAAATATCTACAGACAGCTTGGCAACCACATCACAGTCAACCTCAAAACCGTAACACTGTAACCCCAGAGGGATCATGGCAGTACACTTGAGTTTCCTTGTGCGCTAGATGTCAGGTGGGTCCGAGGAACGCGACCTCACAGTGAGAGACGGGTTGGAGATGTAGGTCCAGGAAAATCAAGAACACTCCTTTCTTAATTCTCCCGCCTGATCTGAAGATGCTGAACTAGCAACACACTCTGGATTTACTAAAAATGCTGATGTCCCTTTTGGATAATAAACTCACTCTCAAACGACTGCCCAATGAAAGTTTTATAAAAAAAAGGTATTATATAAAATAGAGAGAGAAAGAAAGAAAGAAAAAAAGCAAGCCAAACCTCTTTTTATCATAATGTATATAAAGCACAAAAGCACCAAGTGATGACACTGTTGAAAGCACTTAACAAAAGACTTTAAAAGCTTGTTT